TTGCGCTAATGTCAAGGAGAGAACAAAATTAAATGCATTAGTGTTGGTGTTGTTGATTGTGTTTACCTTTAATGTTGATTTTATTATATAATGTATCAATATTAGAACTTTAATTTTGATTAAAGAATAAAATCAACACCTGTTATATTGCATTTAAATTTTGTTTAAGGTGACACAGTTGATAAATGTAAAAAAAAAAATGTTTAAATGTCGTTTCAAGAGAATATTTTTAAATTTTTTTATATGCAATTAAAGAGAATATCTAACTATAAGGGAATGGAAAGAGATGAGATTTATATATAATTTTTTAAAGCAAAATTATAATAAATTATAATATATATTTTTAATTTGATGAAAAAGGTATAATTTATTATATCTATTAAACATAAATTTTAAATATAAAATTAATTTTAAATTTTACCCATCAAATTTGTTGGCACAATAATGCATTCATGCAACTTGATTATAAAAATGTATGTTTCCAAACACATACTTTAAAAACACTATCTTGATATGGAAAACTTTAATCTTTGTTTATTTTGGTGAAAATATTATATATATACATACATATATAAAATATTTTTTATATTAGTGTAAATTTAAAAAAAAAATTATATTTAATTTGAATATTTCATTTAACTTACATATAATGGATTATAATTTAAATTTAATTTTTTAATTTTTTTTCATAATTTTATTGTTTTAGTCTTTAATTATATTTTATAAATTTTACATAAATAATTTGAGCATTCTTCCCTCGTAATGTTAAATATTTTTTCTTTACATTTTAAAAATATACATGAAATCAGAATAACAATAAATGAATAAAAAAACAATTACTTGTGAATAACAATTTGATTTTAAACTATGAAAAAATTTAAGAGGAAGTGAGAGTATGAGCTCTAGGGTGAATCTAGCTTGAATAAGCAAATGTCCCCTAATGATGACTCTTGATTTTTAATCGAGTTACGCGCCTTAAGACATTGCGTAGGACAGTAATGATTTAGTGTTCCAATATTCCATCCACCACAGCTGAAATTGAGAACATCACCAACACTTATTTTTCTTAAATTTACACGCCCATCAAATTTAACCCTTTGACACCGTTGAACTCCATATCCTTACGGTGACCCTCTTCTTTTACATTTAGGAACCATATAGTAGTAGCCTATATTCCTGCTATTGAAAGAGAATCACAATAGGTGACACTCGGACAAATTATTATCAAACTTCTAGCATGCTCCTAAAAGGGTTAACTCAAAAAAAGACCACAATTGACACGGGTAAATTAATATGCATTAAATGGCTGATTATACCCATCTGAAGAATCATAAAGATATACGTTTTGGGATTTAAACGAAAAACTTTGAAGGAGATGAAGACCTCCACATGAAAATGATTGACGTGATGCTGAATATCAATGCTTATTTCTTGAACATGTGATATGCAAAAGATCTAGAGAGATCACACAGAGACTTAGGTGGTGTTCTATAAGTTGAAGGAAAAGACCATTTGTATTTGTGTGTGCCTGTGTTGGATGATTTAATAATATTATTAATAATCAAAATAACAGGGGTAAGCATGATTGTCAAACAGTCATTTGTGGAAATAATGCTCAAATATCAAGGGACTAGTTACTAGCTTAGTTAACCTAATGGGTTTAATATTTTGTGGATACCGAATTAGCATTTACCCAGCACGTGTGTTTGCACCTGCATGGAATATATAGCGATACATTTGTCAGTATTCGTGTATAATTACTTCTTTTGCTATTGGTACGCTTTCTAACACAGCAAGAAGCATGTCTATATCTTAATTATTGGCCGGCCCCTTCATTTTTTGTTAAATTAGTGGCTTCTGATTCATCGAAATAAATATAAAGTAATTGTGGGGTTTCCATGTAAAGTAAACTTTATCATGGGGCATACATAAGATTTTGATAGGTTAGTTAACATGTGGACATAAATAAGATGGAGAAAATTTGATGGGTCACTTTACAAATATGCGAAATTAAAGCAAGCACACACTATTCAGCTTGCAGATAAATAGTTGATGGGATTGTTTTAAATTAATTAAAACTCTCAAATTTAAGTACGAATGCGTTTTTGTTAATGATTTAGGGGGGAGAATTTTGCAAATTAGATTATTTTATCTAACTTAATACAAGTTAATTATATATTTAACATAATATTCAGATAAAATTAGACTCGCTTAACACTTTAATCTCCTCTTCCTTAGTTGAACTTTCATTTTCTTTAAAAATTTAAATGTTTTACAAAAAAATGTGTGCATGTATAATATACATGCAATGTGCGTAACTTTTTTGACCCTGAATATATTGAAGGAAACTTCACCAATGTCTTGAAAGAAGACTATTTAGGAAAACATAGCGTGTGTATTGCTACGGATGAATCCATTGAGATCACCAAATATGCATAAGCTAGGTGCCTGCACCTGTCCAAGAGTAACACAACGAATGGTCTAGACCCAATATGAAAAAGTGGACACTGCATCTGCAACATAAGGTAAGAGACCCTCCCTCCCCTGTACTAGGCACAAGTTGGAGTGTATATGGTACTCCAAGTCAAAAAAGTGTTGCTGTAAAATTGACCCTCCAGCCAGGAGCTGGTGAAACAAACAAGTGGAAATGATTTTGTATGCACAAGCGGCGCCAGCTATTTCACAACTTATCTAAGCCATTAATTCAAGATTCCTTCTGCCTACTTGAATCGCATCACCAAACAAACAAAAGGTATCCGAAACCAAATGCTGGATTTTGGATTGAGGGAATTGAATTTCCAGTCTGTTAATTTGTACAATTAACTTCAAATAACATATATTGACAAGTAAATGGGGGACAATCAAGATTTTTAGATTAAGATCAACTTCTGGTCAGTTCACATTGAGCTTTATATCTTGAACTAGAAAGACCTTCTTATACTTAATTTTAATGGTTATTGTAATTTTTTTTTTTCAATATTAGTCTTAAGAAGACATCACATTCAACAAAGATAACCCCCTTTTTTGGAGCAGTGAATTGGAAAATAATTCAAGCGATATGAGTTTGTGATATGCTCACCATTAAAAATCTTTAGTCATGAGTTTTTATACTTTTATTCCGCACACTGGTAACTGTTTTCCAAGGTTCAGAGAATTATTGCTGATGCTTTAATGAGAATAATAAAATTCTATATTCTGCGGCCAAATAGAATGACTTAACATCATTTTATAATCTAATTGACACCCTCTATATATTTGGCATTTTTCTGTTTTTTACAATGGATTTATGAATCTGATACTGAACATATATTTTTTATTCAAAATTAGAGATTACAAGATGCCCGTAAGTATAAAAGACTCAAGATTACTATCGCTAGCTGAGAAAATTTGTATGTAAACACTCACTATTACATCAACTTTCCTAGTTATAAGGATGTTTGTTGCGAAAGCGGTACGAATTAATATACTTAAGGAAAATATTAGCCTGAAACTTTACAGTTGAATTTAAGCAACTGTTTTACTAATAATAAGACTTTGTTAAAAAAAAAAGCATTTGTCACAGTTTTATAATATTAATATAATAAAAATATTATTTTAAAAAAATTACTACTTTTAAGTACTAACACTTAATACTAAAAATTAAGGTTCAAAAACTATATAATTAATAGGATGTCACACCACTAAATTGAGAGAATAAATAATTTTTCCGGCACTGCACTTATTTTAGCTTTAAGTATTTACGTAGCGTTTGATTATTTTATTTTTTATACCTTTTCTTAATCGTAAAAAAAAATAACATTATTTGAGAAAAAAATCTTCTGAATAAAGGAAATTTGTTTAATAAACAAAATTTAAAAAGAAGTGTTTTATTAAAAAAAAAAAAAATTCAAAACGCGGAGATGAAGCACTATCTTAATTACTATTCTTTCTTTTTAATTTTGGGAGATGAAGAAAAATCTCTTGAAAAAAAATTGAGAACAAAAGTTTAAAATAAAAATCCATCAATCAATTTGGAGAATATTTAGAAGAGTTAATTTTTTAAAATATATAAAAGATAATTTATGACCTTCTTAAAATATTTTTTTAACTTATTTTAATAAGCTTTATAAAAAAAAGTTTATTAATTTTTTGTTTATTTCAATTAATTTTATATTAAGCTTATAAATAAGTTTCTATTTTATAATAATTTATTGTATGAGCCCTTGGTTAAGTCAATTATTTAAATGAACCATAACTTAATTTTACACTATAGAAAAAATAAAAATATTTATTTTGGATCAAATTTTGAAAAAATACACACACATATAGATATTATAATATTATTAAAATCCATTTCATCATTTTATTAATTTACAGTTACAACATCTCACTCTTTTCTTCAGAAACACCCGTTTAGAGAAGCAAAATCCAACTTAAGATGTGGCTTGCCCAATAAATTCGCATATCTCTATAAAATGGAAGCCACGTCACGAATAGCAGATCATTTTAGTAATGTTTTAAACGCATTATTGGCATCTATAATGCTTTACCAACAAAATAAAGCAGAAGGCACTTGATAAATTGTATTGAAAGAAAAACAAAGAAAAAAAAGAGTATTTGGCCAAAATATTCTACATAACATGAAATATCAAGTGACACGCAAGAGATTTGTCAAAAATGGAGCCATCCCACATCAGAGTTTATGGGAAATAATATTTGTGTCTCTTGCTTCACCATAACATAAGCCTCTAAAACTGGAGGAAAAAAAAGGAGGGTGGGAATTTAGAAGATGACTGTTATGTTGAGCAAGTTGATGAAAAGCTTCACAATTTGATCAAAGTTTTGCATCCACTTAATTATTAAAGACGTAGACATCACTTCTTCCTTTTTTTCTTTTTTCTTTTATTTATTTATACTGTTTCTGTATTCTTTAATATTATTTTAAGTTTGCATACGCGTCCAACTGTACACTCTCAACCTGTTATAAATAGAGCATCCTTAATGCTCTTCTTTACAGTACAAAATATTCATCTCTTCTTAGTAGAGAGTAAAAGAACTAAAGATGGCAGAGACCCTTCGATTGGCTGTTGCTGTTCTTGGTACTTTGTTTGTTCATTCCTTAGGTTAGGATTACTAATTACTTTGAGTCTTCAGACAAAAGTAACTCATTAGTGTTTTTTTTTTCTTTTGCAGGCAATGCTGCCTCAGTTTCACTTTATGCTGCACCAATGTATGTAACAATACCCATTATTCTTAGTATTCCATTGCTGCTTTCATACATGTCCCCTTTAGAGAACATAAAGTGTTGAACACTTTTGTTTCTTTTTCATGTCCAGGGTTACCTTTAAAAGAGTTATAAGGAAGAAAAGCACAGAGGAGTTTTCATGCATTCCTTACATCATTGGACTCTTGAACTGTCTCCTTTTCACTTGGTATGGATTGCCTGTTGTAAGCTACAAGTGGGAAAATTTCCCTCTTGTCACAGTTAATGGAGTTGGGATAGTTCTTGAGTTATCCTATGTTCTCATTTATTTCTGGTATGCTTCCCCCAAAGGAAAGGTAACTACTTACTCATCCTCTACCCTTAAAAATATGTTTACAAACTTTTCATCTTGTTTTGAATCATATGAACCAAAATTTTCATTCTTTTAACTTTCTTCCTGAAAATAAAAAATGAAAATTAGTTACATTTTTTAAGTGTTTATCGTTTCATGAAAATGATGGTGTGAAGGCGTGTTTGGTGTTCAGATTCACGCTTGAATAGTTATAAATTTATATTTGTTTCAACGCTATTAGTTATAACTTTTGTATTAGATTCACGTTTACGTGTTTTTAAGACGAATTCAAGCACACACAAAAAGTTTTTGGTTTATAAACTTAAGTGAGCAATTTCTTCCGCACTGAAAAAAATATTTTCCCGTCTGTTCAAGATACAAATTATGGAAAGAAGAGAGAAAAATGTGATACGAGAAACATAACTGCGGTTTTGGGGTTCTTGTGTGGAGCCATTTCCGTGTGTTCTGCATCAAATATTGCAGAGATAACAGAACAGTTACTCATTTTTAGCTGCACGCATGCATGCTTTCACAATTAGGTGGAAAGAGACGCGTTTTCTGAGAAGCGTAAATGTTGTTTTGCAGGTGAAGGTAGCCATGACTACGGTACCAGTTCTGCTTGTGTTCTGCATAACCGCTGTAGTCTCAGCTTTTGCCTTCCATGATAATCGTCAGCGAAAGTTACTCGTAGGTAGCTTTGGCTTGGGTGTTTCAGTAGCAATGTATGCTTCTCCCCTGGTTGTAATGGTGAGTCATCATTTCTTTCCACTGAAAAATTCAGTCATAGTAAAGCAAAACCAAAACAGAGGGACATAGCAATTCTAATATAGCACAAAATAACAATCTCTTTTATTAAAATAATGGGCTGTGTTTATTTTTCGGTAATTGATGAATTAAAGGAAATGTTACTTCAGCACTAGTTTCGTTTGTTTTATGGCGTAAGCAACTCCGTAACAGTGTTTGATTTATTTATTTCTGCAGAAGAAGGTTATGCAAACTAAGAGTGTGGAATTCATGCCACTACCATTATCGACGTGCTCGTTCTTAGCTAGTATGCTCTGGCTGACTTATGGAATCCTCATTCGTGATATATTCGTTGCGGTTTGTTTCATAATCTCTTATTATGATTTCATAAATCCGAGGAAAATAATGTATATGTATTGTGAATACTAATGTTATTATTGTACGAATATAATTGACAGGGTCCAAGTGTAATTGGTGTTCCCTTAGCCATCTTGCAGCTTGTACTTCATTGTAAATACCGGAAAGGGAGTGTTGTGGAAGAAGCAAGCAAGGGGGACCTGGAGATGGAGAAGGGTAACTTAGAGAAGGTGGACTTGGAAATAGGGAATGTAGAAAAGAATGTCACTAACCAAATGAATGGAAACTCGTGAACAATGAGTCCGTGGGGAAAGATTCAAGATTTCAGAAAGTTCTAATCGGATTCCTTCTTTAATGTTTTATTTCCTTTATTTAAAAAAAAATGGTCCCCTTAACTTCGGATGTATTATTATTCACATCAAATTAAGTTATACTTTCTAATAAATGGTTTCTTTTATTGGTAAACCCTTTGCTTTGTTTTTTTTAATGTCTACGAAGCTCCCCATATTATGAGAAATGGAATTATTTGTCAAAACCAAATATTAAATTTAATGTCACTAGAGGTTCATTTTCCAATGCAAGACCTCTTTGTCGGCAATCGTGATTTTGCTATGCTACACAACAATGAGGATGCATATGTCCTATACTGTTTAAAGAAAGGCAAAAAAAAGGTCACAACTGTATTTGTGGAAGTATATACGCGAAAGCTGAAAAAAGAAATAAAGCAAATGACAATTGAAATACATTTCATGAGTTACTCAAGGGTCAGCAACAATGGTTCACAACACCGGCATGAGCATAGAGCCACGTTATAAGACACTTTGTTTTTAACTTTTCCTTTCTCCCTTGCCAAAAGCAGCGCGGATTGGGAAGGAATGTTGGATTCTCTCGTGTCGCTGACACAAAGAATAAAAAGCAAAGCCCCATATTTGTAATTCTGTCCTTCATAAATCATTATTTTTCTGCATTACTTTTCATCAACTTTTGATCTTTAATTAGTTTCTAAAAAATTAAATAATTCTTAAGTGTGTCCATTGTCTTATTAAATTCGTATTTGTAAGAACGAGTTAATTTGTATTTTAGTTAACTTTGTCACATAAATATATCTCCGACTTTCTTGTATATCACGCATCTGTTACATCAAGTGTATACTGTAGACACGCTATATCGCATGTACACATCCAAAAATGTTCCTGTAAAACAGAATGAAGACCAGGTCAAAGAAAAGGTTCATCGTAAAAATATGACTTCTTTCCGTTTTACAAATGATTAGAGATTTATTTGAGAATATTAAAAAAAAAGATATAATAGATGCCATAACAACACAATCAACGTTAACAAAGTGAAAGTCTTCTGTCACCATTCGTAGTAATCTTCTAATTATGATCACTAACATCCGCAGGTCATGGATGTTTCTACTTAACTAAATTTTGATTAGTTAAATAAAAATCATAGTTCTACCAAGATTTCATTCGTTTTATAAATGATTAGCGATTTATTTGAGAATATTAAAAAAAATTAACACTTCCTTTACTTCGTGCGAAGGAAAGCCAAGATTTCGTAAGGGTTCACGTGCTACTGATGGCCTTGTATTATCTTAATATACCCACGCGCGACATTTAAGTATCTGACAGTTAAAAGTTAAATCAATTAATGAAAGTAAATCAGTCAAAGAAGCATACTTTGGACATTTAACGGTGAAATAAAATAAGATGAAACTTTGTAGAATATCATAAAAATAATAAAGTTATAATTTAAGTCTTTATAATAAAATAAAAATGAATTAATTCCACCTCATACTTAATATGAAAGAAAAATAAAAATATTAAACAAAATATATTTAAATGCATTTTATCATATCACATTTTATTTTAAATAATAGAATTTAACATCATTCTATTTCTCTCCGTTCAGTTTTTTTTTATCAAGCTAAACGGTTTTTAACTGATGACTATGCTTAGTTTGAAGGCGTAAAAAAATATGTATTTTAAAAAAAAAATCCACTGTAAAAACGTACATGAGATGATAAAGAGAAATGATTTTCAAATATTATATTTATATTTTTATATTCATGCTTATTAAAAAAACAAGAGAAAGATAATGTATATTAAGATGTGTGTTTTTTCTCGTTTTATTTAATAAAAACAACAACGTAAATTTCATTATATGATAAAATCATATAATACGAAATATCATTGCAACTGCTTTATTATGTCCTATTTTAAATAAAATAAACAGGAGCGAATACTACTTTTAAGGGTAGAATAGATAAATTTTGTAATAAAATATATTTTTAATTAAAAATAAGAAGAAGAAATAAATCATTGGAGAATTTTAGTTGACCTCCTTACACGGCACCCTCCCAAATCTCTCCCGACCTAGGCCCCTACCCATACAATGACCTCATTAACTTTGTCGTTAATAAGCACGTTTAAATTTAATAAATAAATAAATTAAACATAAAAGTTATAATTAATACCAATAAAATAAACGTTAATTATGATTGATGACGTAAAATTAAATACAAATTAAAATTATTTTTAGATTTACATTCAATGATCATATGTATATATTTATTTTAAAAATAATGAATTATTTATAACTTTTGTATTAAATGTATGTTTATATAGGGTGTTTTAATGTATTCTTACTTCTGCATACCTACAACTGTACTAGCACGTCTTCTTGCTGATGATTTTGACGGGGATGTGTGTTGTTTTCGTTCGTTGTTAAGAGAGAGCGCGTAGGAAGATAATTTTTTTATAATCCTATACCCAGAATTTTAAGTCAATATACAGTCAACATTTTTGAAATATATATTTTCATCCTCCTATCACATAAATTTCAAACATATGCATTTAGTTAATTTTTACCACATTTTTATTATTCACTCAATTTTATTAAAATTTATAAAATTATGTCTTGAATATATATATATAATCATGCTAAAGTTAGATAATCTGACATCATCAAGTTGCGAGTCACGTGATATCTTTCTTCCCAAATGACTCTCTTACCATTATAATCAGCCCTTTAAGGGAGCCGTTTTCTAACATGCATGTAAGAATATTTAATAAAAAGTTAGCTATAATATATATATATATATATATATATATATATATATATTATAAAATTACTCTTTTTATTTCGTAAGTATAAGATAAAATTTATTTTTTAATTCACTTTAATTTTTAATTTAAAAAAAAATTAAATAGGTCTTTTTTTATTAAAAACCTTAACTCCATGAATCAGAAATTTAAAGACAAATAATGAATATTAACATAGAATACACATAATATGAAATGATAAAAATTTTAATTGAATTATAATTTTTAACCAAAAATGATTTATTTCAATTTTTTTTAAAGTTAAAAATTAAAATAAATTAAAAAAGTTAAGTCTTAAAATTAAGAGATGAAAAAATAATTTTATCTATTTTTTTTATTTTTTTTAAAATTTAACATACTAATGGTAGTAATTATTGTAATTTCAATGAAAGTTTATTACTTTTTTTATTATATATTATTAAATATATGTTAAAAAAGAAAAGCATCCATATTTTAGGACCTCGTTGTCATGTTGTTCCCTGGTTTATTATTCGACAATCTTCCTGAAAAAAACATTTTATTTATATTTGTATTTTATTTATGTACTTTAGAAATGTGTTTTATTTTCATATTTTTATATAATTTAAAAAAATTAATCAGATCCTTGTCTGACCAAAACTTAGTTCGTAGTATATAGGGCTGCTATTTCTAAGCAAGTCGGAATACACGAATAGCAATGCAAACAATACCTAAGAGATGAGTTATGACGTAAACGAGTGCAGCACTTTATGGTTATAGGAATATTAAAATTGACATTTGTCCAAATTAATCAAATTAAAATTTCAATTTACTTTAGCTAAATATATAAGATTTAAGTTTTTTTGTACTTTTTTATTATTTAATTATTTATTATCATTTTTAAGATATATTTAGTTATTCAACTTTTTTAAATGTTTATGTAGAAAATAAAATAACATAACTTTTTTTTTAGTATTTACAATCATCTGCTTAGAAATTTCATAACGTTAAGCTACCGAGGGTCACAAACAAAAATCTGTATAAAGAATACGGGTGTGTGTGTCAACTATTTATAAATTCTCTTTCAAACATATGAAATTTTAACCTTTTTTTTTTTTGCTATTTATGAAATTTTAACTTTACTCATTATGCAATTTAACTTAATTTTTGTTTAAATAAATAAACCTGACCAAATATTTAATGAATTAAAAAATAAAATATTAATAAATAAACTTATTTATAATTTTGTTTTTGCACACAAAAGATGTCCTCCAATTATATATTAAGATTTTTTTTACAAAGAAGTTACTTAAAAATATTAAAATCAAGTTTAGCCGTACAAACTTTAAAAGAGATTCTAAATTATATTAAATAAAAACAATAAATTATAATCCATTAAATATAATTAAATAAAATATTCAAATCTTGTATAAGATATATTAAAATATACAACCCCTAAGTTTCTCTTTTTCTAGTAACATACAGATTCTTATATAAACATCTAGCTTATTAAGAACTTGACATCCACGTTCTCTTATGGCAAGATGTTTCTTATATTGCAAAACGGAAAGTTAAGGTCTTACCTTTATAGATGTTCCAACACATTTTATTTAAAAATTTAGGTGGAGAAATTTCTTCACTCCAAACCTAAATGATAGTTTAAATTAAAATTCAAATATTTTCTTAAGTAGTATATAAAATTAAATAATTGCATATTATCATAATATGAAAGTTTTTATATTTTATTAAAAATGAAGAGAATATTTAAAAACTAACAAAGCGAATTGAGCATAGGCATTACAAGTGCTTGGGACGATTCCCCACATGACTTCTCGGAGTGATAAGTTCTGGAAAGCTTTTGTACGTGTCACCATTGGATTTTGCAATCCCCGCATCAGCGAGTCTTTTGGAAGCATGACTCATGAGACCGATTCTCTGTACAAACATAACACTGCCAATCGACACTTCATCTCTGCCACCTTTGAATAATACCCACTCACATGGGTGTACCTATTCTCTGTCGTTTCAAAGTTTAATGCCGATCAAACTCGTTTCCTTTCTTGCTGGAAAATGTTGTTTCTACCATTAACACAAGATACTTTCATACGTGAAATATACCCAAACATATATATGCATACACAAAATAATAATAATAATAATAATAATAATAATAAATTTTACTTGTTTAAATAACAAAATAACTTTTTTTTATACATATCTATATTTATTTATTTATCTGTTTATATGTGTCATCGTTTTGTTCTGTGGATTATCCTCTGATTGCATGCCTATATTGTCCAATCAGGACTTGCCTCTTGTTCTTTCTCTGTGCCATATATATATATATATCAAAACTAGAGCAGGCTTTTTGATCCTTCCCACATGATGGCCAACAAAAAAGAGAATGATAATTTGAAACAATATTTCCTAATTCAATGCTTTTCTAATATTGCAGAGACTGACGAGCATCGCCATATCACATCCCTGATTCAAACCTATGTCTCTGCAGATTCTGCATATCAAAAGGAGAATTCATTTTAATTTGAAAAGCGCCACGAAGCATGATCTCCTATTTCCACGCGGCACATAATCAACCGCAAACTCTAGTTTTTATATGATTCTATTTCGTGAATTATTGGTGAAATCACATGACAGTTCGCAGCCCGTACGTTATCACTCGCGTTCACTTCCAGAGTGAAACCGTTCGGGATTCCATATTTGCAGTGTCTGCAAAATGAACACATACATAAAGTGTATCACCGCCTCATCTTCCATTTCACATTCACGTGATTGTAAGCAACAACCTCTTCGCGCCCGTTCCATTGTTTTCTTAATCAGAATTACATTTTCTTCAGATCTTTTTTAATTTAAACTACATCTTATTCTTTTTGAGCTTCAGAAATATACGTATTGCTTCCCGTATATACGTTCATTAAGGAGTTCCAAGGCACTCAAATTGTTATTAATTTGGTTAAATTTGATATTAGAGAAATTATTTGTGTTGTTTGTGGTAATTTTCTTTAGAGTTTAGTATTGATATGTATGTTTTTAATATAAATCTCTTAACCTTTTTTCTTGTTTGATAGTTGTTTGTAATCGATATTCAATTATTATTCAAAAATTAGTTAAAAATAGTAAAATGCTTGATAAATTTGAACAGTTTTAGTAGTACTGCAAAGATTAAAAATTAAATGAATTAAATAATTCAGTTTAAGTCAACTTATTAAGAAAACTTTACGGAGAAAATAAATTAGTTTAAAAATAATTTTTATAAATAAAAAATATTTATTTAAAATTTAGAGAAATTTTAAAAATATAAATTATTTTAAATTTATGTAAAAGTTTTATTCATTTTTTTCTTATAAATTTTTATATATAAATTTACTAAAGTTGAACCTATATACCTAAGAAGGTTTTAGATGAATAAAACACATAAATTATTCATACTCTAAGAAGTGTCTTTTAGATTGACAACGAGTAAAGACACTTTTAACACATAACTCGTTCTATAAATCATTTAACTAAGTTTGCTTTTGTACCATCTTATTTTATAATCAACTCACTTCCTAATTAGTTCGCTCTTATGATGTTACTCTCACCTAATCGTCTAAAAACCAATAGAAGGTGATTAATTAGTTCATGCAGTTGCAAGCACACTATCCCAAATTCAAGACAATGAATACACTTATTTTTTCCCTATTCTAAGAGTGTGGCAACATGGAATACTAAAAATGTGGAGACTCCGAAGCAAAATAGGAGAAGCACCAATCGTTGTATGCTCTAAATACCAAAGCAAACTAGGCGGTTCTTGAAAGCTTAAATCAGCAAAACCAACATCTATCTTCTTGACTTTTTTTTTTCCCTTCTCCCACTACTCATCCGTTATTTCTCAAAGAATGTAAAAAAAGAAGAAGAAGAAGCCATTAATTATCTTCCTTCACCTTCTAAATATACCGCACTAAGTTTATGAGTTCAAGAATCTCGATTATTGTAAGCCATTATCCCAATCATTTAGTAAAATTGTTTTCGAAATAATAGTTCAAAATAATATGTTGGGTAGAATCTTTTCAAAAGTAGCAACAAGAAGATTTGAGTTATTTATTATGACTAGTATTCAACTTTGAAATATCTTTTAACTTAATCGCATTTTTTGTCATTTTATTATACTGTGCGATTTTAGTTTTAATAATATTTTATTTAAATTTAGTTTAAGTTTTTAAATTATTATAATCAAGTTCGTTTTTTAGTCTTTAAATTCATGTTCTCTATTCAAATAATTGAAAGTTCTTAGAATTTTGATATAAGAAATAATTTGAAAGGTCCAAATATAGATATTTTGGCAAAAGTTAGATGAAATATGAGAGACGTAGGGTTAGGAATTCTTTTAAAAGATATGAAACTTGAGGTATTTTAAAACATAAGTAATTTTTTCATTTATGGATTTTGTGAAAAATATTTAATATTATTTAATCAATTTAATTCCTCGAAAATTTTTCTGAAAAAATAATTTAAGAGTTTTAAATAAAATAAATAAAAAAGATAAAATTACAAATAGGCTTCTAATGCCTGGAATGCGGCCCAACTAATGGGATTGTCTTGATCTGAATTTATTAGCTTCGGGCTCCATTGCTCTCTCATGAATTAAGAAAATAAGAATTAAGAAGGAAGCAATGCAAATGAAAAATTTTATTTTTATTGTTATAACAAAAAAAAAATGATTTTCTTTTCTCTTATTTGATAAAAAAAAAAAAAGCGAAGTCAAAATATAATTATATAAATGACTTTATATCCCTTAGATTTGACATTTTAACATAATTCTTTTCTGATCTCTACTATTTTTCCTATGCTTAAGGAGAGAAAAGTTTATGAGCCAAAAAAAGGAGAAATGTTTTTTTAGGAAAACCTAAACTAAAACTTTGTCATGTTTTCTTTTTATCCAAAAACTTTTTCATGTTGACGCCACAATCAATACATAAGTAGTTAGATAAATGGGCTTTTTCCAATGAAGTGGTTCACGAAAGCCCACAATGTACCTGGGTCAAGGGCTAAAAACTTTCTTCGACAAAAAAAGCCTAAAACTTTATAACTAATTTAAATGAGCAGAGAAGAGTTTGACTTGATCAATGCTGGAACTAGTGATTGGGCCAGCTATACCAATTCGCTTAAACACACAATTATTATTTTTATTTTAATATATATATTATTTATTGGTAAATATATATATAATTGATGTTTAATTATTATTGATTTTGGCTTTACTAGATTTTGGGGCGAAACATTGAGACAAAAGGTGGGAGAAAATGCGGAACAGCTGAATTTGACTAGGCAATGTTTAGTCCAGCAGCATCGGCAGTTTATTCTGCAGCAAGCCACGCGTCAAAGTGAAATCTCAAGACTAAACGAACACAGCTCCATGCACGTCGCCACGTGGCATATACCAAATCTGGTTCCCATCCCTCTTCTGTGGAAGGAACCAACAAAGTAACTAACCAAGTAACCAACCACCCCACTCTTGAAGAAAACTCAGATTGAGAACCAGAATGGTGAAGCTTGCATCGGCAAGGGACTTTCGTACCTACGGCCCGGGCCTAACCAAAAACCGCTACGAATACATTAATGCGGGCCTCTATCTCATTGCCTCTGTTGTCCTTGTTTCTGGTTTCGCGGCTCAACTTTCTTCCCAGGCCCGATGGCCCCTGCTCCTTATCGTCACCGCTTTGGCCATCTTTCTTCTCGTCAATCTCCATGACCTTATGGCCCATCTCGCCGGCATCGATTTCCGGTTACCCTTGATGGCCTTTGACCTTCAACTCGCTTTTGTCGAGTTCGCTGTTCCTCTGCTTCAGATTCTCGGAACGCTTCTTCCCTTTCTAGCTGTTTTGTTCCTTTTTATTCAGGTATTCATATTATTACTTTTTACCCACTTTCCATATTCCCAGATTTACATCACTTCACTCATGTCACATACATACATGCCTCAATTAGACTAGGTTACCCTTTCCAAATCAGTTCTCCACCTTGTGATACACGTTGAATTTGTAAGTGGCATTCATTTGATTACATGTTTTATAATCATTTATCAAAATTTTAAATAACTTAATCTAAATTGGCAATTACTTTTTTTTTAATCTGTGTGGACCAAAACGAAGGAAGAGAAAGGACATGGTTACTTCAAATTGGAAAAGCATGCTCTGAACATGCTGGTGGCTGGTCCTGTATTGTGGCTGATAGGATCAATTCATAATTCATGCCAAATTTACGAGAGAGCCGATGGCCACGTTCAAATCTTGCAGCAGTGTGTGTATATTCCTCTTTTGTTGGGTAGTTTGTCATTCATGCTTGGTGCAATTCTCAATTATCACGAGCAATCTAGGGAGATCCACCATGGCATCCACTTGCTTGTAAGTATTCTATGTTCGATTGGTTTTTATGTGTGTGAGTACTATGCAATGAGTCACATTGAGCAATGATTTGGCCTGTGAATCTTATCATATTTGAGTCTGAATTCAATTAACTAAGATTAAAAAAGTTGGGCAATGATTGTTATTACGAGCACTAAATTCTAATGAGAATGAATACGTTGATCGTTGATACAGGGTAGGACTTGGATCTGGCTAGGCATCTTCGGAAGCACAATGTTCTTGGTTGGTGGGTTGACAAACTTAATCAAAGTGTTCAAGATGCAACAAATGAATGGAATGAGGCTAGAGAAACTAAGAGGTGGAGCACATGAGCGATTGGTGAGTGCAAGGGAAGGACAGGTTCCCCTCATTATGGAACATCAAAAGATGATAACTCATCAACCTCAAGAAACCAAAGTTACTTTACCTCCTCCCACTCCTTATAAGGATGTCCTCATTGGTCAGACTAAATCATGATTCCTGTCTCCTCTCCTCTTTTTGTTCTGTTTCCTTTGTTTTCTGGGTCAGGCCATAGATTGATAGCAAATGAGATTCATGTTTCGAAAGAACTAGAGACTCTTATCTTAGATTACAATTTCGAATCATACTATCATTCCTCGTCTCCTCAATCATGATTATTAGTGGTCGTAGCATGTTACTTATTCAACGGAGACCCGAGGAGTGGAACAGGGATTTTATGTATGAAAAATCAACATCTTTAAAAATGCACCGCCATTAAAATAAGTAGTTAAATAAAATCAACAAATAACGTGTTCCCAAAAATAAAATTTGAATGATTGTTTAGTAATTACACTCTAAAAACAAAATGTTACATACTAACAATTTAGTTATTTGTGGATTTCATATTTTTGGTTCTCTACAACGGAGGAAAAAACCCTACAAAAATACAGTTATATATAAGACACTTCATCTTGTTTACCTTATTTTTTTTCTTTTTTCTTTTCTATTGTATCAAATACGTGAAAACAAATTTTCTCTTTCTTTTTTGTCCAAACGTCCTTCCACGAAAACTAAAACTCATGCTAATTTTGGATTAAAGCTTACATTTGTGTTAATAACCATAATTTTCATGTACTCCACATTTGTTGTGATCTGAATTCTCATAAAAATTTGATGTTCCCGGCATATGGTCCAAGAATATTTGAACCAAAACTTGAATTTGAACCTTGTTAATGAAAATATTATTATTGAGGATATTTACAACTTACTAAAATGGATAAAATTTAATATATTTTTTTGTGGGTTTTTACGTATTACATGCATTGGACTGCAAAAGGTTGGATTAAATTTGGACTCTAAATAAAATTTTTTCCATAAAAAATATTAATTTCATTAATTAATATTTTTGACTTTTTTGTAACATTTTGCATTATGTATCGTCTTCTTACTCATGTTTGTATATTATTCATCATCTTGTTTTCTTTCAAATATTCAATTTTGCTTTTTTCCTCAGATCTGTACAATCTTTCATTTTATTTTTTTCTATATTACTTCTGCTGTAGTTAATAGCACTTGTATTCCCCTATTTAAGCATCATGGTTAAATTTCCTTCAAATTTGTTATTTAACAGATCAAGTGTAATACAACTCTAAGACGTGGTATTTCACTAATAAAATCATTTGACGAGAGTTTAAAACAATGAATTGTCATTGATGTAACTATACTTCATGGCCCCCAAAAAGGTTTGAACATTAGATGAATAATATAGCAACTTGTTCCATTAGTAAACTATGGAAGGTCATTTTATTTCGAGGAAAAGAAAATTTTAAACCACCTAAGTACTTGAGAGATTATTGATACTCAAATTTATTTAGTTAAAACCAGAAAATCTCCTTTTAATAGGTTGATTGAAATAAATCCTAAAATTTTGTTGTTGCTAAGCTTAAGAACATGACATTAAGATCATAAAAAAAATTAAAAATAGACAAACAAAATGGGGAAGAAAGTGAAATGGAACATTCCACGAACCAGTGAAAACAAAATTAGACACTTGAGAGAAAAAAATAATACACAGTATCCAAACACGAGGAAGAAAATTATTAACAATATAATACAATGCATGTGATATAAAAAAGACAAAATATTAATGAAATTAATTTTTTAACAAAAAAAACTTATTTAGAAGATTTTAAAAATTTAAAAACTAAAATAAATCAAAATAAGGTTGGAAAATAAAATTAAATTAAAATTTCAAGTTGAAGAATAAAAATACTAATTTTATTAATTTTTTAAAAATTTTAATATATGGTAAAAAAAAGTGACTAAGATTAATTAACACATATATATTAATCATATTTAATAGATTAAAATCAATTTCATTAAATTTATGTAAAAGTATTTCAACGTAATTTTAACACGTGCGATGATAGGACACTAAAACTAACAGAAGTACGTTTAAAAACACATGTTAAAAATTTGAAAAAAATTTAATATTCTTTAAGAATGACCAGAAAAATCAATAAATAGTAAGAAATACACTTTTTTATTTATTTCTAATTCATAAATTTTTAAAATTTTATTATCATTTAACATAATAAAATAATTATTATTTTATTTAATATTTTGTAACTTTTATTTAAATATTAAGACATCAGAATAATGCACATCAGATTCTAACTTAACATGAATCGTAATTAAGAAATAAAAAATTAAATTGATGCAAATTAAATACCACAAATAATATTTTTGGATTAAAAAAAATCATATATATATATATGGTTACGATTCCACGCAAAATTTCTTACTTTGCCCACGGTGCCAGATACAATAGTTGATAACGGAGAAGGTCCTTGTTTTTCTTTCTCCCTTTTTTGAGAACCCTAATCGGCCAATCCCGTTAACTCGTACCAAATCAGAACTCCTCATCCTTTCCGTTCTCTCAGGTAATTTGCTTTGTTTTCTTACAAATCTCTTTATTCTGCTTCATTCTCGTGGATCCCAATAACAAAACGCCACACCGTCTCTGTGTGACAACTAACTACCAGATTGGTTCTAATTGATTAAATCGGTTAACTATCCATCTTGATCATGCCATTTATGTAATTTTCATTTCTTGAATTGCAATTTCATCGCCACTTCTTTGTTACCCCCAAAACATTGTTAACTTTTTCCCTCAGCTTTTAAACTGAATTGCTTGGATTTCTTTTTGCCCTAATTTTCTTGCATAACGGCATCTATGAATGCCTAAGTTGTATTCGGCCAATCTTATGGCCTTGGTCGTGGGATAAGGTTTGGTTGTTGGAGCTTTATGAAGCATGCTGGTTAAATTGTAATTCACGAGTAAACGAATCCCCTCGATTCGAAATTGTTTTGAGAAGCATAGTTATGAAGTATTCTCTTGGGTGTTTGACAACATACCTGATTGTGAAATGGATGTTGTAGGGACTGCAAATTTTGGTGGTTCCTTTCCTCGTTTTAGGGTTATTGTCTGAAATGGCATCGGTGTCTAGTCAGCCACAATTCCGCTACACTCAGCCCCCATCAAAGGTGCTTCATTTGAGAAACTTGCCTTGGGAGTGCACAGAGGAGGAACTGATTGAACTTGGGAAGCCGTTTGGTAAAGTTGTGAACACAAAGTGCAATGTTGGAGCGAATCGAAATCAAGCCTTTATTGAATTTGTGAGTATATTTTGTTTTTTGGTTTTTCATTATTTCCCTAAATTGCTTTTCCTTTCATGTAAAGTTACCGAATTTTTAGTTAGAAAATAATATGTTGTAACCACAACCTACAGGCAGATTTAAATCAAGCCATTGCAATGATATCATACTATGCCTCATCATCAGAGCCTGCCCAAGTACGGGGGAAAACTGTATATCTACAATATTCAAATAGGCAAGAAATAGTGAATAACAAAACTGCTGCAGATGTTCCTGGGAATGTATTGTTGGTAACTATTGAGGGTACAGATGCACGCCTTGTCAGCATTGATGTTTTGCACTTGGTAAGCTATTGCATGTGTGTATTAGTTATATGCTAACAGTGTCATCATGAGGATGCTGGTCATTTAGTTTTGTGATTAGGTTTTTCTTTGTCAGGCTATGGAAAAATTGTTGACATGTATGTGAATGAATCAGCAGGCCCATGTCAAGGCAATATCTTCAATGGCAGCTTAGTGCTTTGGGAGAAATAGCGCTTGTGTGTTTGTCTCCTTTCTCCTTTCCTTAACACTACCTCTTTCTTCCTTATTCTCCCCCTCAACTCCTGCCATTCTTGTAGTTTAGGATGTTTCCATTTTTTTCCTTTTGTGCATCTTTCTTCATTGACTCATCATCTGCATTGGCATTTAGATTTAGTCTCCAAATTCTGTGCTGTTCAGTTATGTTCTGTGTTCCAACTATTGTTTGGATGTGCTTTTAGATTTTCTAAGTCTTATCTGAAAGTACACTAAAATTTCCTTTTAAACTTGGCTACTGAATGCTGAGTTTTCACATAATTTACAGTTGAGGAGGTACTTTACTTCCCTAATCCTTTATTTGAGTCATTTATTCTATTATCAAAGTGAATTATGGCATTACCTTCAAATTCTTTTAAGCATTATAACAGTTATGTATTCTAGGTGGTTATTTGTATAAGATAACCGTGATCTGAATTGAATCCCTTGGCTTAATTATTCCCCCCATTTTCTGTAGTTAGTACTAGATCATTAATGAGAATAATCTGACAATTGTGTTGATAATTTCACTGTTTCATCTGCCTTGCTCTTTGCTTACAATGGTCTAGTTCTTCTGTCAGGAACATAAGTAGCAAAAACATTATCCTAGTAGCATTTCAAGAGATATATTGATTTGCTTAGAGCCTTAAACTTGCATATGTTTAAGTTCTATAATGGTTTTATTTGTTAATATTTATTGTCCGTAAAATGTTTTTTACTTTGTGTCAGTGACAAATTTCCTTATCTACATGCCAAAAATTCTAGTGTGTGTTCAATTCTCAAGATTCACCTAATTAGTATCATCCTGAAAGTTTATTATTTGCTCATGCAGGTTTTTTCGGCCTTTGGATTTGTGCATAAGATTACTACTTTTGAGAAGACAGCAGGATTCCAGGTTTAATGATAGGCCACCCTTTTATCTATTCTCCCTTTTTTTAAATATATTTTATGAGCACAAGCTAATTCTGTGTACAAATGTTTAGGCACTGGTGCAATTCTCTGATGCTGAGACTGCCACCTCTGCAAAGGATGCTTTGGACGGGAGAAGCATACCTAGGTAAAAATTGTATTACTTGTTTGACAAGCTTCTTATTTCAACTGTTGTGGATCAATTGGCAGTAGATGCTGATATGATCTTGGACTGTTCTGCAATTAACTGTTGGACTATTATCGACACTTGGCAGTTCCTTTTGTATTTAACATATTATGAAGTTAATAGACTTTGTCATTTGTTGCACTTGTTTGTAATTTTATTTATCGTTGAATGCGTGAGATGTGGTTGGCTACATAACGCTGTTGTGCCACCTGGACTGATCTTGAAAATAAAAGAAGTGCCAAGTATGAGTTGGGCTGAAAATTAGTAGTTATTAGAACATTAATTAACTCTTATTATTTCACAAATTGTGTTTTTTCTGATGATTGATCTTTAATTCTGATTTGGTATCAGGTATCTGCTGGCTGAGAATATGGGACCATGTACCCTTAGAATCACATATTCTGGGCATTCTGATTTAAGTGTGAAGTTTCAAAGTCACAGGAGCAGGTATTGCCAATTTCCTTGGTATTGCCAGCTTAAAGGCAATAAGTTTTGGGAGAACTTTTTATTTTATTTACCAATATTCTTACCTTTTCCTGTTGGTTTATTGTTTATTCTCTATTATTGAGATTGGTTCTATATCTCACCCTTCATTTCAGTTTCAAGCCTTTTTTCTCTCTATGATAATAAATTTATTATTTTTAAATTCTTTTCTCCAGAGACTACACTAATCCTTACCTTCCAGTTGCTCCATCAGCTGTGGAGGGAAGTGGACAGGTAATGTCTGACAGTCAACAATTGTGTTTTAAGGGAGTAACATTCTTTTGTGACCTGGTTTTATGTGCAAAATTTGAAAGCTTCCAAACCACTTTTTTTAAAATTGAATATTTTTGTCATGCACGTTAGTTAGATTTACATCTTCTGTATAAGGGCTGCCCATTTTCATGACTTGTTTAATGCTTACTGATTTTTTTTTTAATATATTCATTTGTAACTTTTGCAGGCCATGATTGGTTTGGATGGGAAAAGACTGGAGACTGAGAGTAATGTTCTTCTTGCATCTATTGAGAATATGCAATATGCTGTAACACTGGATGTCTTACACATGGTACTTTTAAACCATGACCAGCCTTTTTTTTATCATTATTGATTGATGATTGCCAACATATTAAAGTTAATAATCTTGTGCCATTTATTCACATTTTAAAAAAATTTGTGACAGGTCTTCTCTGCTTTCGGGCCTGTCCAAAAGATTGCAATGTTTGATAAGAATGGTGGCTTACAGGCTCTGATTCAATATCCAGGTTAGATTGAGATCTTTAAAAATTTTACCTGTCTTCATTTTGATATATTTTGTCTGCACTGAACTACTGATGATTTTTAGTGTTTGTGCATACCAAATGGTTGTGCCTGCCTGTCAATTGTTTTCTCTGTCTTCTAAGTTTTAAAATTACATTTGGGGGAAGGTTTCAAATGTGCCTCTGCAAATTGTTGCCTGATTCTATAAAAATCAAACATTTAGGATCTGGAATTTGAGGGAGTTTCTGTGGAAGCTCCTCCTTTTGTTTTTTTCTTCATTAAAACTATTTTTTTAAGATCTCCTTTAAAGTTGTGCTTGATCTAGCTTCTCCTCTTTAGAAGAATCAAATCCCAAAAAAAGTTGGGTGAAGTGCAACCTCAATGAACTCCCTTATTTGCATTATCTTGGAGGTCCTTCCGCTCATGATTTAACAATCCTTGAGAACAGAAGTGGCCCAGTGCTGAGATTGATTTATTTTGGATAGAAATATTAAAAAAGATACTTCTAGCTGCACTTGCTTATTCTTTTCTCAATTTCTCTTTAGGTAAATAATTTACTAAAGATATGATTATTCTCTCAAGGATTACGGATCAGTTGCTTGTTGGGAATCTCCTCAATGGGGTGCATACTTATCTTTGATAGGTTTAATAAGGATGATTCAAATTTGTCGTGTGTGCATTTAGTGTCATGACTCGACAAGCTTGGAGAACTTTGACCTTATTGATATTAGAAACTTTTTATTTGCCTTGTTTTATTTTATACTGTCAGTATAAGCTTGAGATAGTGACAAGCTTTGACTTTCAGATACTCAGACAGCTGTTGTGGCAAAGGAAGCCTTGGAAGGACACTGCATATATGATGGAGGTTTTTGCAAGCTTCACATCTCATATTCACGTCATACAGATCTTAGTATAAAGGTAAACAACTAAACTATCTGTAGAGTGAGGATTGATGCCCATTTTAATAAACGATTGACTGAGTGAGTGAAATTGAAGGTGCCTTATATCATTACAACAAAATGGTGGGAATTGTTATACAAGCAAACGCAGCCAATCTTCATTTCTCGAGGATGTAAATTATTTACTGTAGTAAAAAATTGAGAATCTAGCTTTGGACCCTAGGTTTTCTCTCCTGGGATGATGTTTTGAACATCCTTATGCTGAAGCTTGACAAAATTTACCTTGCTATTGTTGGCCTCCATCATACCTTTCTCGTGGAACCTTTTGACTGCCTTAATTACACAAATGCAATACAAGGGTCCTCTGTCCTAATTTTAGATTTGCTACTCGGTATTAGGTTTTCCTTTTATTTTTTTGGAGGGGTGGCATTCTGGTAGGGGTTAACTGGTATTGTATAGTCATTTTTCAAACTCACCACAAGTAGTAAACCCTTCTGTAGTTAGTCATTCTCACGTGTTATATTATGGCTTCAGTATAACATTTAATTCTAAGGCTGCTGCTTTATGATATTGCAGGTCAATAATGATAGGAGTAGAGACTATACCATTCCTAATACGCCTGTTGTGAACGCCCAGCCCTCAATTTTAGGGCAACAATCTGTTCCCATGATGGGTCCTCCTGCTCAACCATACAATGGGTCTCAGTATACTCCAATTTCTGAGCAGGCTATGATGCCTCAGTCTCAGGCTGGATGGGGATCAGCTCCACCAACAGCGGTCCAGTCTATGCCAATGCAGATGCACAATAATGTTTACATGCCACCTGGAACTATGCCACCACAAATGACCCCAGGAATGCAATTTCCCAGTCACAGCACGCTGCAACCTACAACGACATTGCCCACATACGGATCTGATCGTACCCAATAGCATGCTTCTCCTGTGTCTCAAATAGATCTTGATATATTGGTGAACACAGTCAGCTGATTTCTGCAGAACTGAGAACTGTGATTTAAACTGAAGTTCCCATCTGTTGCAGCTTGCCTGCATTTGCTGACAGTTATGCTGAACCTCAAATGGACCACTTCTCATTTTTCCCGTCTGTTATTTTTCAGATTTTGAATGTGAAAGTCTGTAAGCAATTGGTCAACAACTTCTTGGTTCTTCAGTATCAGCTTTGAAACAAAATGTTATGTTTTAATTGATTTGTGCTTGAGAAAGATATTTAAAAATTAATTCTAGTATAATTGATTTAGCTTGTTTGATTTACCGTTTACGTCATCAAAATCTATTGCCAACAAAAAAAATCAGTGGTGTAAAGTAGTTTTGCACACTAATACTTTTTTACAGAGCAAATTGATTGGCAATGTGGCATGATTTGTTTTTTTTACCTTTAAGCAGGAATCTGTTCCTCCACTATTCTAAACAGGCTATTGTATTGATGACAAATTATATCCCATGTTATTAGCGGCAACTTAGCTTCAGCTTTTGAACCCAATTAACGACTGCGAATTACAGAATATGCATTATCAACCATCGTTGAATGAGTTTTAAAATGTATTAGTTGAAATATTTAATGGCATTAAGATTTGGTCCAATTTGAATAGAATTTTTAATTAATATTCATTAGAGTAAAAGAAAATGTAGTAACATGAATAAAATTTGTGTCGTTAATTAAAATTAACTTGTGTCAAATATAAAGTAATGGTAACCAGTGTCTCGTTAATTCATCTTTTTTATTAAATATTTTTCTGTTTTGTTTTATTAAACGGTATTCTAAAGTAAGATAGGTATGTGCGACGAAGGCTTTGAAGGAAAAGAAAAGAGGGTTAAATTCAGTCTACATATTTTTGAACCTTTCAATTACCTTTGCTCAATCGTATAAACTTCTTATAACTCAATTTAAAGTTTGAAAACATAATCCGGATGTTAAATTCAAACTTACATATATTATTATTATTATTATTATTATTATTATTATATTGAATGGGGCTAAAAAGGTCCAAGAAAACAACTAGAAATTACATAAAGATTCTGGAATAACAAATCCTAAGAGAGTTCAACTTAAGAAAGAGAGAAAGAAATCAACATTCTTAATAGCATTTGGGCCATTTTGGGTCAAACGATCAGCACTTTTATTAGCATTCCTATAAATGTGGACTAATTTATAACCTTATTGCAACTTAAAAGATTTCGAATACAGAAAAACAGTAAGGATAAACTGACTATTAATTTCTTGATCAAATAAACTAGTATGAACAATTTCGCTGGAGTCAACTTCAATGCAGACATTCTTAAAGCCTCTTAACTTGATAAGTTTTGAACCAGCTAAAGATTCTCCACATGCACCTCTTATCAATCCCTCCATAAATAGTCGAGCACTCTTTTAAATCATTAGCTGAGTTACAAATTTGTCTTAAACCTCAGTTAGTCAGAAAATCTATCAACACCAAGAATTCATTTCTGTTCAAACTTTAACATTAAAACAATCACCAATATTCTAAGTTTGGCACTGCATTAGCTGCGGTAAAGTGAAAATTATTCCTTTCCAAATAGAATTTTTTTTATATATATTTGTATATTTTTTTATTACTTAGTTTACATATCATTTTCACTTTTTATCATTCTAAAAATATAATTTAATAATTTGCATTTCGTGACGCTTAATTCTAAAAACGGTATCTACTGTTTAGGTTTTAGAGCACATAAAAATTTCATAACGCTCCTGCTAATTTTTTGAAATTAAAATATGAATGTATTATAATTTAGCACGAAACATTTAAAAACATAAGCAAGTGAAGATAGGAAACGTTTAAAAACATAATCACTAGTTCTACGTAAAAAAAATCAATTGCCACTATCCTTAAGCAAGTTTAAAACTTGATAAGATTTAAAATCCATAAGCGTTATCCAAAAGCGGCACCAATTTCAATCAATAGATAAGGCACCTCTAACTTCCTCTTCATCTAATCCTTTTCCTCTGTTCTGTTCTGTTCTGTTTTGTTCTTCTCCTCTCTCACTCTCACATCTCATCAGAGTGAGGAAGAAGAATCCTAGTAAGCATTAAGCAATAACCATGGCCACACTTCAAGCTTCACTTCTTTGTAGAATTTCCTTCCCATTCTCCTCTCACAAGCAACATCGTTTTCTCTACAAACTCCCTCATTCTTTCAAACTCTATCCGCTCCAATTTCACCCGCGCATTCTCTCTACAATCTCTTGCAACGTAACTTCTTTGTCTCAATCAAATCCTTCAGATGCCGATTCTAATTTAAATGAAAACGAAGCAACTCCAAAATTAACGAGTGTCGTCGACGGAAATGACGCTGAATGTTTCAATCCTTTAACTGACGAGGGAGTGACGGAGAGTGAGAATGCGAAAGAGGAAGGTGGGGACGGAAGGTTACCGATTGTGGCGTTCTTTGAGGAAACACGAGAAGGTATAAAAAAGGCTTTCATCGATTTCATTAATTGGGTGCCGTTTTGGCAACAGGAGAGGCGTTTGGCAAAGTTAATCGCTGAGGCTGAGGCAAATCCCAACGATGTTGCCAAACAAACTGCACTACTTGTTGAATTTAATAAGCACAGGTTTGAATCGTATTGCATTGTGAAATCAGAATATCGATTTTTGGAGAAGTTAAATAAAATATAATGGCTATGAATAGCACAGCTCATGCATGATGATGAAGAATGTAATTATCACGTGGAATAATTTTCAGTTTGGTAGGAGTGGATGATTTCAATTTGAGTCAAAGTTTGTGTTATTTTTACTTTTTTACCAGTCCTGAGTGTGTCATCAAGCACTTTGAAGAAAGAGAGGGTGCTGTAGACAGTAGAGGTGTTGTAGAATATCTTCGAGCTCTGGTGATCACTAATGCCATTGCTGAATATCTTCCAAATGAGGAATCTGGAAAACCTTCTACCCTTCATACCCTGGTAGTCACTTTGTCTAACTTTTGTTTTTTTGTTGTTGTTTGGTCAGTGTTACCCAGTTCTTAATTGCTCATTTTTCATTCAGGAGAGTGTAGTAAGCATCATTTTGTCATTCATGTGTTGGAAAATTTTATTGTTGATCAATGATGTGTCATTTATCCTTGTCCTGAGTGACTGACTATTCCTTGAGTCTCAAAATCTGAAAATAACATGAGTGGTTTGTTGGATACTTTAAAATTTGGGCTGTTTTTGCTGTATGCATTTCTGGATCCAAATTATTTGATTTGCCCTTCATGGCGCTCTTGTTTTTCGCAGAAATTTCATGTGTTGCGACCGTGGACTGTTCCTTTTGTCACCATGAACTGTCTTGTCGTTTCACCTTTATATCAGTTTCATTTGACGTCTTTTATTTCATTATTTACATGTAATGGTTATATCATGGTCCAATTGATGGTAAATATGTTTTCACAGTTGCAAGAGTTGAAGCAGCGAGCATCAGGCAACTCAGATGAGCCTATTCTTAGCCCTGGAACATCTGAAAGGCAGCCATTACATGTGATTATGGTAACAATTATTGCAAAAAATGTTCTTTTTTATTTATGGTTTTAATGATTAGCATTTTCTTGTCCAGATTCTTTTTTGTTTGCTTGTTTTGGGAATCTCACAAATCTGTTTCCATCTTTAGGTTGAACCAAAAGTATCAAACAAATCACATCTTGTACAAGATCTTTTATCAACTGTTGTGTTTATTGTTGCTATGGGAGTGGTCTGGTATGACTTGGTTTTAGCGTTTCCATCTTTCATTCTTCTCTATTTCTTCTCTATATCATATCTGAAAGCCTCATGTATTGTCTTACAAAATATGTATGTCTTTCAGGGTGTTGGGTATTGTAGCACTTCAAAAATACATTGGAAGCTTGGGTGGGGTTGGAACTTCAAGTGTTGGTTCAAGTACTTCATTTTCCCCAAAGGAACTAAATAAGGAAGTGATGCCAGAAAAGGTTAACATTTTAAGATGTATTCTGTGTCTGATCCTTTGAATTGGCTCATTTAGAGTTTGTTCCCTGCAAACTACAAGAATCTACCTCTACTGCTCTTGTCATGTTATTGTTGGTGAACTATCAGCTCTCTTTCTCTCCCTTTCCCCTTGCAGATTGCCAAAACATTTAAAGATGTGAAAGGTTGTGATGATGCAAAACAAGAACTTGAGGAAGTTGTGGAGTACTTGAGAAATCCAGATAAATTTACCCGCCTTGGAGGAAAGTTGCCAAAGGTCTGAAGAAGTGACTGTCTTTTTGTTGAATTTTTCTGCATCAAAGCGTTTACTTAAATTTCTAAATTTTCCCTTACATGTGATTGGCTTCTCGTTTCTTTGTAGAGGCCTAGGTTCCATCCCTGTTTGTGAGATGATAACATATAGCAAATTGTTTTTTTACAGTAATAAACATGATAGTTTTTTTTTATCACCACAAAATTGGGAATTCTTTAATTTTTTTTATTTATGCTGATGAAGTTGCTTTTCTAATACCAAGATTCCACAGTTTTCAGTGTGCATCGGAATTTGTTTGTTTTTATCCTCCAGTGAGCCTAAAACATTTATTTTTTTCAGGGGATTCTCTTGACAGGACCACCTGGAACCGGAAAAACTCTGTTAGCCAAGGTCAGTTTGTTTCTGCTCTGCATATCTTAGGACATTATTTTCTTACAAGTTTTATGAAGTTCTTGGTTTTAGAACTTGCACCTATTGGCCTCGTGTGCTTCAGGGATTTCCACTTGTATAAGCTTTCATTAAGTTTTTGGTAATTACATATTTGGTCTTTGGTTCTTGTCTTTCAATTTTATACATCATGGCTCCAATATTTCTTTGCATAATTTGTTTATCTAAGCAGTAACTGAAAGAAAAAGTTTATTTTTCTTTGCTATTGTGAACTGTTTGGATATGCTTATCATTATTAATAATTGTATATGTTCAGCTTCCTTATGGTTTGTCCATGCAGGTGTTAATTGTGTGTACCTGATAGGCTTTCAATTCAATTTGGCAATGATGGTATTCTTATCTAATGTTTGCTTTTGCCTAAAATAACTTTCCTTCATGTTTCTCTTCTCACACTTGTACCAAATGCAATGGAAAATCATGACATATATGTTTGTGTGTGCATTATGGTCTGTTTTTTTTTCTTGTTACTTAGTGCTAGGTGTAGACCCATTAATGATTTCACTTTCTTAAGTTTAGACTCAAATTTCTTTATACGGATAAAGAATTCATAGTTTTTCAACAACTTTGTTTTCTCATTTGGTCTTTGGACTCCATTAATATAATTGGAAAAGAAAACACTACTTTGTTATCCTCTACCTCTGGTAAACTGGTACTGTAAATCTATTGAAATTCACAAAGTATTGTGATCTGATAGTGTTTGCTTTATCTGGGACCTTGAAGGCTATAGCTGGAGAAGCCGGTGTTCCATTTTTCTATCGAGCAGGCTCTGAATTTGAGGAGATGTAAGTGTTCCTTTTGCATTCTTCATTTTCAATAGCTTAAAGTTTGTGTTTAGCATACGTTATATATTATAAGTAGTCTTTGATGGGCCAAAGTCTGTATTAAGGCAGTTATAATTCTGAATTAGGAAGTTATGTTTTATGATGCAACAGTTATAGTGTTCTATCTAGTTTGATAGACTTGGAGGAAAATAAGGTGTCAGTTTGTTGTTTATGATGTTCTGAAGGAGGAAACTCCTTTTAAGGAGAAACTCGTGTGTGGCTGACTGCTTGTACTGCAAATCTGGTTATTAAACCAGATTGTTTCATCAATATAATCACTGTTTTGTCTAATTCATGAGTCCAACGGTCTACATATTTGAAACAGGTTGCTTGAATATAATAAGGATAAATTATATGTTGTCTTGGAAAGGGTGCATAAAGAATGTTATTGCATTACAACTTTGTTAACAAGGGTACATTAGTTGTTCCCTGTATGACATATATTATGTTTCTTTAGCTTTTCCAATATTGATTACTTGGACCTATTTGTTCTTGCCATTCTAATGGGAGAATACCCTTCATCAACTATGTTGTATTCATATTGCCACCTTAGTATCATTCCACTGTGATTTGAGTTTGACCCAATCTCATTTCACTTTTCCTCTTCAGGTATGTTGGAGTTGGTGCTCGACGTGTAAGATCTTTATTTCATGCAGCGAAAAAGAAGGTTTGTTGCCTTTGGTCAATGGACTCTCAACAGTCTATTATTCTGGTTTACTAAATTACTTTTGTACCACCTCTCCTTTTTTATTTCTGATTTGGAGCATTCTTTTTCCCCCATCATTTTTGTAGGCTCCTTGTATCATTTTCATTGATGAAATAGATGCCGTTGGTTCAACTAGAAAACAGTGGGAGGGTCATACAAAGAAGACATTGCATCAACTACTTGTTGAAATGGATGGGTTTGAGCAGAATGAAGTATATTTGAAGTTTTACACATCTGAGAGTGTTAATCAATTTCTCTGTTTTCCAGATTTATTCAACATCTTTATCTTGTAGGGAATAATAGTAATGGCTGCAACAAACCTGCCTGATATTCTTGATCCTGCTTTAACAAGACCTGGTAGATTTGATCGGCATGTAAGTCCTATTCTTTTTTTTCCCACTAAATATAATTTATGAAGAGTAAGTGGGAGGATAAGAAATCCTCCTAGAGTAACAAAGAAAGAAACAATGCAAGAGACAGAAAGGACAATATAAAGCTTAGCTCAGAAAAATTTTCCTGTCCATCTATCACGTCATTAAAGAAAGCCCTCAGAAAAAACGACGGCTGAAATGCATAAGGTAGCCAAATAGACAAATTTCTCCCTTAGAAGTGGAAAATAAAATTATTTGTCCAAATCTCACTACAGACCTGAAAAAGGACAACACCTCCAAGGATCTTACGCTCCTTTCTTTAATATGTTTGGTAATATTTAGTGCTACAATTTCAAAGATAATATTATGTTGTTTCTGCTATGGGATAAAGTGATTTCTTAACCTATTATCTATTAAATCCAGAATTTTCAGGTGGACCTTTTAAAAGTTGACAAAATTAAAGCTCTAGGACCACTCCTTGTAGTGATCTGGTGTACTTGAGATCATATTCTGTGTTCTTGTGTCTTTATTTCTCTGCACTGATAAGAGATTGGTGTTTTGTTGTATAAACATTATCTTTTCTAATTTTCCAATGATTTTAATCTGATCTCTCTATTTGGACCTACCTGTTAAATTATATCATGATAATGTCCGGAATGTTATGTAATTTTTTGACAGAATATAATATGACTAACCAATCCAATTCCAGATTGTTGTTCCAAATCCAGATTTACGTGGCCGACAAGAAATATTGGAGCTTTACCTGCAAGATAAACCTTTGGCTGATGATGTAGATATTAAATCAATTGCTCGTGGAACCCCAGGATTCAATGGGGCAGGTGAATAATAGTTCAATTTATGTGACAAGAAGAACCTCTTTGCCTTCCTTTCTGTTAATCCAAATCTTATCCCACTTCAAGTTTCATTCATGTTATGTTTTCTTTAATCGTTCCTTTAAACCAGATCTTGCAAACCTGGTAAACATTGCTGCTATTAAAGCTGCTGTTGAAGGTGGAGAGAAATTAGCAGCTGCACAGTTGGAGTTTGCGAAAGATAGAATAATTATGGGTACAGAGCGAAAAACGATGTCCATATCAGAGGAATCAAAAAAGGTGTGTATTGTATATTTATGATATTTGTTTTAGCACTTCAGCTTCGTGATCGTGATCATGATTTATATATAAATTACTACAGTTTTTAGTCTTATCGTCTTCTAAAAAATTTTGAACCTGAAATTTCTGTGCTACGTTATTTGAAAATTATAGTTGTCCCTGTAGTAGTCAACTATGTTGTAGGATTGTTACCAAAACTAATCATTACACTGAAAAACTCTAACTCAGTTCTTCCTTTCGGACATTCCATTCGCTGAACAGTGAAATTATCTACATCATTAAAAGACATGAACCTTTCATGATTTTTTTTTATCTTAAAAGAAAATGGAAGACACACTGATAATAGTTAATCAACCAGTTGTCAGCTTGTGAGTTAGAAATCTATTGGTAAATTGACTCTCTTCCAAAGTGTCCCTGTATCTTGAGTCATTTTTTCTGTTGTAACATACTATAACCTATTTATAGCTCCAACTATTTCTTATATCATTGCTTATGAGCATCTTTCAGTCAATTGTTTATTCAGTACAATCAGCTTATGCTTGTATTATGCTATGCTATTCTCTCTGTAAAAATACCAACCTGGCTTAAAAATGATGAGATTGTATTTTATCACCAGATTTGTCATTTTCTTATTTTGAACTCAAAATTTTGATGTCCAAAATCAGCTTGCAAAATCTGTAAACATTTTGTGTAGAATTAATCAATTTAGTATTGAACTGTTTATGGATGTGCCGTTATCCATGTTAATGTTGCTTGTGAAACTTTTAGCTTACTGCTTATCATGAGAGTGGCCATGCAATTGTTGCCATTAACACTGAGGGGGCTCAACCGATTCACAAGGCAACAATCATGCCTCGTGGATCTGCCTTAGGAATGGTCACTCAGCTTCCTTCTATTGATGAGACATCAATCAGCAAGAAGCAGTTGCTAGCTCGCCTTGATGTTTGTATGGGTGGAAGAGTTGCAGAAGAAATTATCTTTGGTCAGGATAATATCACAACAGGAGCAAGTAGTGATCTTCATACAGCTACCGAGCTTGCCCAATATATGGTAATTTTCTGCTTCCTGTTTAATGACAAATTCAGTCTCTTCATTTGGGGAACCTGGGGTTATTTTTACTGACTTTATCTTAGCCACAAAAGCAATACAAAATTTTTGCACCTAGATATTTCTTTGGCTTAATTATGTTTTTAGTCTCTATAAATATATGTTATTTTGTGATTAATCCTTACAAATATTTTTATTATGAAATAGTTACTAAAAAGTTAAAAATTTAGGATTTAGTTCCTGTCATTAACCTCCTTTCTGTCAGACAGCTTAGCACTTCACGTAACGCCATGTGGCATAACATGTCATTTATTTATTATTTAGTTTTTATTGTTTACAAATAAATCCTTAACACATTTTTAATATTTATAAAAAGACTCTCTTCTCTTTCACTTTCTCATTCCTCTCTCTATTGTATACCCTTTCCCCTCCTCTTCCCCTTCTCCAAATCCTCATTCTCCCCCTCCCTTTCACCCTACTTCCGTCCCCATTCTAGTACTCTTCCCTTTACACCATTCTAACTCATACTCTCCTTCCAACTCTACTCCTATACATTCTCTTTTACCCCACTTCTTCCTCTCTCCTTTACACTACCCCAACTTCATTAATGTACATTCCTCCCACTATCACCCTTCTCCTATCCTCATTTTCGTACCCTCTCCTACTCTCAACCTCTCTCCCAACCCTGTTCCCATGTCCTCCCCTTACACCCCAAATAATTGTGAGTTGCAGAATAATTTGTAGGCAAAATCAAACTCCGCAGCAGCAACTAAGAGGCGTGAAGGTGGGAGCGGTTGGGGTTTGCTAATGAAAGGGGTGTGGGTAGTAGAAGAGATGTGCATGTTGGATTTGGGGTGGATAATGGAGAGGGAGATGGAAAGGGTATGAGAATTGGAGTTGGGGTTGTGATTAAAATGTGAGAAGGGGTTGAGGTTTGCTAACGGAAAACATCACACTCGTTCAAGAGTCAAATTTGAATTGGGATGAATTATTCTAATCAAATTATTCATTTTTTTTTTACTAATTGGATAACATGTTAATATAGGAAAAGAGTAGGTAAGGGTAGTATGTACAAATGAACATGGAAATTGAGTTCTTGTGTGACATCTTCAGGGTTTGGGACGTAGGACTCGAGAGTACATTGGTGGGCTTTCACCATTATTTTTCCTATGCCTAAGACTTGTTTTTTATTCTTTTTTACTATGACCCTGACTAGTTATACCCTTTTTATATCTTTCTTTTAAATGAAAATCTTGCCCGTATGGGTAGTGAGAGAGGTGTGGAGGTTAGGAGTGTATAGTAGAGAGGGAGATGGAAGAGGTGCAGGGTGAGAGTAGGAGAAGGGTGGAAGTGTAAATAGGTATCGGAAAGGAGGTGGGATGAGGTGAGAGAAGAGGTGTCCAAAAGAGGTGGAGTGTAAGAAAGGGGAAGAGGAGGGGGTGGAAGTGGAAGTTGGGGAGGGGAAAAGGGTGGGGTTGGGGGAAAGGGGTGAGAGTGGATGTTGGGGTTTGAGTGGGAGTTAGGGTAAAGAAGGTGAAAGTTGAGGTTTGGAGTTGGAAGTGGGAGGTGAGGCTGTTAGCTGCTGTTGAGGAGAGGGGGTTGAGAGGAAGAAGAATCTTTTGCAAATAAGTAAAATATGTGTAAGGATTTTTTTGTAAATAATTATTTTAAATAATAAAATATTAAATATATAACATGGCATGCCATGTGTCAGTCCTGAGCTGACTTTCTGTCTGCCAGCTCAGAATTTAATAGAAGAAAATTAACGGCATGACTAAATCCTAAATTTTTAACTTTCTAAGGATTATTTTCTAACAAAAATATTTGTAAGGACTAATCACAAAATGACCTATATTTATAGGACCAAAGCCTATTTCTTTCATTGTATTTAATACTTAGAATGTTCACAAGTAATCGTAACAAAGTACTTAGAACTTCCCTCTGACTGATTGGTGACTAGAACCATGTCCTATGTTCTGGAGTCTGCACCTACCTTTTGTGTTAAAATGAGCTTAACTCTTGTCATTTTTGTTTCTGCACTAGGTATCAATTTGTGGAATGAGTGATGCAATAGGGCCAATACGTATAAAGGAGAGACCAAGTTCTGAAATGCAGTCCCGTATTGATGCAGAGGCAAGTGTTTTGATTCTATAGCCTTCATATTGTTTTGAATCTTTTGATGCTGGATATTCACGTTTGGGTTATTTTATTTGCTCTTTTAAGAACTTGAACTTGTTTTATGAAAAATAAATATTTGGTTTGCAATTTGAATTTTTATATTTGTTCTGCAGGTTGTGAAACTTCTTAGAGAGGCATATGATCGAGTGAAAGCCCTTCTAAAGAAGGTTTGTCAAATCAAGTTTTTGGGTTTAATCTGTCATTTCTAGCAATTTCTAGACAATCTATTGTCCTGCGTAAAATTATTCATTTTCTTTATCTAGATTTAACATAAAATTCCAGGCGCTAATACTAAAAACCACGCTATTTAGTGTCCTGAATCAAAATTTGGCAGTGCTTCTGAAAGGTTAATAATTTTGATTTCTGAACCAAAAGCCACTTTCGTGAACAACAAATACGTCGTATAAATCATTTTATACTGTGATAACACCATATGCAGATTATAGATTCATAAAGAAAATTTTCTGTTTTATGCACATAGCTTTTTCTCTGGTTTTGATTAATTAAAATAAGCAGCCAACATTATGCCATGCATGGATTTGCAATTGTCTCACATCTGATAAGTGTTGAGCCCAAATAACTTCTAACGTTTCTTCAGCACGAGAAGGCATTACATGCACTGGCGAATGCTTTATTAGAGTATGAGACGCTTAGTGCAGAAGAAATCAGGCGGATACTTCTACCATATGGGGAAGGAAGACCGCCAAAGCAACAAGAACAAGAATCAGCCGAAGCGGAGCTTGTATTGGTCTAAACATTCTTTCTGCTTGCTGCCTATTAACTATTCTAACTATAGTGGTAGTGTGTACAGCATAACTAGCTGCCCTACAGGTATTTTTCTTGATCCAATTGTGCTCCACTCCTTTGTGCATTTTATTCTGGTCATATGATTCCAAGTGATACACCTTTGAGTAATATCTGAAGCAACCAGTCCTGACCACAATGACAAATATCGGAGTATTGCCCTTGCTAGGAGTGCGAGCAACGTTGTTTTTGGAGAGAACTGTGTATAGTTTGTCGAAAGATATTTATTGGACATTTTGAGAATTGTGCCTACTAGGGTACTCATTATTCACTGCCTTTAAAATTTATTGTTTATTGAATCCAAGTATCTGTTCATGTGATCCAACTGAAGGGTGCAGCAACAAAATTAGCATTTAACAACTCTGCATAAGCATTACTGTCCCGCACTAAATATTAAACATGGTTGATATTTGATGATAGAGCCTTGCTGTATCCTCTTATTTATCTTCTTAATAATCTTCCTCCTAGTTTATAAAGTATGCATTAAATGAAAAAGTATATACATATTATCTTAAAAATATTATTTAATAGTCTTTTAGTGATTAAGATTTATAGGTCTTTATTTCGAATGGGCTGAATTTTGAATGTAACAAGTGATGAAGACCATAAAAAAAAATGTAAAAGTGACGAAGGCCTGACCATAAAAAAAGAAGTAAAGTCAGTCAAAATAGCTATGGGGAGACCGATGATTTAGTCTCTGTACATGACTTGTACGCAATCAGAGGGGAAAAATGACATTTAAGTAGTCATTATTTTCAGAAACACTAGATTATAATATTTAAAAAAATATTCATTGCCCATGGTCCCACGGGTAGGAAAAATATTATTTTCCCACCCTAAAACGACCCTCTTGTAGTAACCCAAAATGGTAGTTGCTGCACCAATTTGATGATCCACGACAAACTAACCATAAACAGGCTCGACGAAGTGGGTCTCCATTCTAAATGGGCCACTTAAAGGGCAACAACTATGTCTGCCCCGCATTGTAGCTTTTATACTAAACTCTCGTGCCTTTCATGTTTCTCTTCCCCTCTCTGCCAATCTACTGGAAGCTACTCGTTCTCGACCAGCGGAGAAAATTGCGCTATCACTTATGTGGCGCTCACTCGTCCTTGTATCGTTGACACGAGTGATAAAGTATATCTAGTTTTAAAAGCAAATTTAAGTTTATGATTTTTAAATTTAATTTAATAATTCATTAGAAATTTTATAATTTTATTTAAAAATTCTCACCTTTTTGGAGAATGTAAAATTACTTAATAAAATAGGGCATTGTTAGGGTACTGATTATGGAATTTAAAATATATTTTTATTATAAAATATGTTAAAAATACATTAAAAAATATGGTAGATATGCATTTTATAATTTTTTTTATTTCTTAACCAGTGTGCTTAAAGTTTAGGACATTGATAAATATTTTCCATTAAAATATTTGTTTTTAATTTCTTTTGAAACTTTGGATTCCGAAAATAAATCTATCTGGTACACAAAGTATCTAAATAGTTATGCTTTAAAAACGTTGACACCTATTTGATAAATATAATAGGACAAGAAAATGATAGGATAGAGAGATGGATAAATATATCAGATGATAATAAAACTATATAGGCACTAATATACATTAAGACAATAAAATGTTATTATTTTTAATTTTTGAGGTAAAAAAAAGGTAAAACAAAATATAATTTATATTTAAATAAAAAATATTTATCAAAATTAATATATAAATTTTAAACTTTTTTATTTAAATTTTTTACAATTAAAAATTATTTTTAAAAAATAAATTATAATTAGAACAAAAAATTGTAAAAATATTAAAATTATATTATTTTAAAACATTTTTTATAAAATATAAATATAAAATATGAATAAGAATGTAATAAAAAAAATATAATATTTTAATAATTTTTAATCAAATACCTTTTTCACATATGATGATAAAATAAAATAGATGATAAAATAAGATAACTGCTATTATATTTTATTAATAATCAAACATCAAAAAGAGTAATATAAATTTTAAATTTTAAACTATTATATCCTATCATTTTATCTTATCTATTGGCTGAAGAGTATAAAAAGAGTAATATAAATCTTAAATTTTAAACTATTATATCCTATCATTTTATTTTATCTATTAGCCGAAGAGTATATATATAAAAGGACAATATTTTTTTAAACTAATATAAATTTAAAAAAATTTATTTAAATATTTTATTTAACATACATCTAGTGAATTTTTAATATATACAAGTTTATGTTATGTAACGACTTTGAATATCATAGTATAATAGTAATATTTAAGATGTAACCTCTACTACAAGCTAAAATTTGACTACAACTAGAAATTATACAGACCAATGGAACCAATTTTATAGAGCAACTTTTACCAGCACCTGTACACGAAAAGAACATAACATGTTGATCGATCACCCATTTACTGCACTGGATTCAGATACCAGTCTGTTCTTTTTAACAACTAAAGAGAGAAACCATGAAATTTAAAACAGATTAGTATAACAGAGAGAGTAAATCACCGTTGCCATTTGCCAGTCCATCTCCTAAGCCTCCAAGATAGGAAAAAGTGCTCGAAGCTTCATCCATGGCAGCCACATCATATGAACAAGTCGTACATCCGATCAATGGGTTCAGTGTGGTCCTGCACAGCAAGTCCTTCTGAAACACGCGCAAGTGATTTGAGATTGCATTTGATCAAGGCTTCAACGAAGTAACAAGTCTCGTCCTTGGTGTTCCCTTCGGGCACATCCACCACAAATGATTCAATTACCAGGGTTCCTGGCCTTCCATCTACAATTTCTGGGTGAAGAGACATAATAGACGAGTAGTTCTGAAACACGATATCATGAGAACCTCAATCGTAAGGAGATAATAATGAAGAATGGAGAATGGAGAATAAAGATGCTACCCTAAGTCTATGATCACCGCCAATAATGCTGACGCTGAGGATATGGTGATTGTCATCAAGAAGGTCCAATCTCTCAGTGCTGGTAGTTGCAGGAAGACCAGACATAACATCAACCTCTCTCAGATTCCCTCTCACAACGCACCTTCTCACAAATGGCTTATACTTCTGAGGTTCGTCAAATTTCCTCACTAACGACCATACCTATTTATATTGATTATATTATATTAATCAAAGAAAGAATTAACCAAAAAAAAAAGAAAAGGAATTGAATAATGAGAGGAATTACGAGAGGAAGAGGGGCTTTGATATGCTTAACGAGAGCAGAGGAACACTGATTGTGCTCTGTCTCTTGCCTGTGATGTCTCCTTATGTATTCCATCTCCATCTCCATAGAAGAAGAAGAAGAAGAAGAAAAGGTGTGTCTGTCAGAAAACTTCCAACTACCCTCTCCTTCCTATTATCCCCAAACTCTGTTTTTCTTTGTTTTCTTCCAAACGTCACCTACTTCCTCCCATTATTACAAATTCGCCACTGCTTTGTCCTTTTCTGCGCCTGTCGTTTACTGTAATTTACTGCATCTTCCTCATGATTTCAGTTTTATTTTAGTGATATACATTAACTTTTAATATTACTTTTTACTATATAAATTATTCAAATAAATTTTTAAGTTTAATTAAAAACTAACATTCATCATACTACAGTTAAATTTTGTCCGACTCAATCACTCTCCATTTCGCCATTTTTATCAACCCACCAAATTTGCTTTAAGAACATAAGTTTAAGAATCACGATTCACGGTAGTAACATTTTTTAAATATATTTTATTAATTTTTTCAATTTTTTTATAAAATATTTTAAAACATTTTATTGATCTTCAATATAATATTTTTTTATAAAATTTAAAAAATTATTTTTTATAATTTATCTTTCATTAATTAAATCATGTGTGCTTTTTGATAATTAATATAATATTAGAGTTGAACTTAACCAGAAATAAACTTGAATGTTATAACTTACTTTTATAATGTTTATTTCACTTTTGTTTAAATAAATTTTGTTTGAAATGTTTTTATTATTAATATATTATAAGATAAACATTTTTAGAAATTATTTAAAAATAAAAAGAAAAAAGTTAAAAATATAATACATAATTTAATTAAAACATTGTTATAAAAAATATTATAAAAAAAGAGGAAGTATTTAGTAAATTTGTGTTTATTAATCTCACTAATAAAAATGAGCTTAAATATTAAAAAATGTGTTTACGGTGGAGAAAGTTAGAAAAAGTTTTTAACCGTGAAAATGGAAAGGACAATATTCGCTTGTCTTTACGAAGCAACGATGATTTGATTGGGTATTTTTGGTGCGACATTTGAGGTGAAGGCACAAAGTAGATAACAGCAAATAAAAAGTCATCTTCTTCAGCCTACAACGTTTCTCTTCTTTTCTTCCATTGCTGGCGTCTCTATTGTTTGTTCATTTTAGTGTTTACGGTTCAGTTTATAAAATTTAAATATGCACCCAAAGAAGGAACGAATTTTCATTTTGCGAACACGAGTTTTATTTTGAAAACAAACATACACTAATGGCTAATACAACAAATGACAAATCTTTTCCTTTCTTAACAAATGATAGAACCCAAAAAGAGAATAAACATATAAAAATCATCTTTTTCTTAAAAGATTTATTAATAATTTTCATCTTAATTATAAGTAAAATAAACTTATTTTTTATGTATTAATCATTAAATCTTTTATGGTTTTATTTATTAAGATACTCATTCAATAAAGCTTATGAAGTGTAAATGATGTTTCATTCCACTGTGATCCATGGAGAATATTCCTTTTCAATTCCCATTAAACTGTGAAAACGAGTAGGTGCCGTGGTGACCAGAACTGTACGGCCTGCGGCCGAGATTTGTGTTGCTATCCCTAAAAAATAAATATTTAATTTATTAAAATTATGTATTAAATAAATAAATATATCTATTTTATAAATAAAGGGCGAATACTTTATTGAAACAAATTTTTTAATAAATAAAGATAAAAAATAATTTAATATTTAATATATTTAAAAATATTAATAATTATTTTTTGTAAATAGAATAAAAGTAGTATTAAATAAAAGGCGAGGTACTCCTACTTTATTATATAAATCTTGAAATGTTTTGTTACTAAGTTAAAAAAGTAAATAAAATTTTTGTGTATAAAAAAAATTTTAATAATAAATTTATCTATTATGTTCAAGTGCGTAAATTGAATTAAATTTAAATTAAATTAAATAAAAAAATAAAATAAAATAAATTTATAAATTGTTCAACTTTTATTTAAATATGTTAAAAAATGCATTTTATTTCGGGACATGCTGGTCTATTTTCTAACGGAAGAATGCACGTTAAGCATGACTCTGTATAGCTCTTGAAGTTATGAAAAAAATAATTTTAAAATTTGACAATTAATTGTATATTAATTTATATAACTCTTAAAATTTACACAAGTTAATTTTATCTCTAAATTAATAAATATCAGTCAATTTAATTCTCAGTATTAGGAATTAAACTAACTAAGATAAATAAAATAATATATATATATATATATATATATTGATTAATGTACAAAATTAAGGCTAAGTATATGAATAAGCCTAATTCATTTAGGTTACGTCTGTGCTGAATTGATACTAAGTGTTATACTTTGTTGACTTATAAATTAAATGGATTGATGGAACTGTTAGCATTTGTTTAACTCATTTTGACATGTGAGATAAATAGTAAAAATAAAAAATCATACTAATATATATATTAAAATAATTGACCTAAGCTAGCTTGTTAATTTGCGAGTTAGATGAATCAAACAAAAGAAAAATATTTAAACGAGTATTTAATTTTATTAATCCTAATTAAATTAATTTGTAAAATAAGCGAATTAATCTAGAACCTATTTAAAAAGTTTATAAAAAAATAACAATTTATATAAGCTATTTTAAATTTATTCTAATAAACTTATTAAGATAGTTTATATATTAAAACAAGTTTTTTTATTTATTTTATTCTAATAAAAATTATCTTTAAATTTATTATATAAATTATCATTTAAAATAATGATTAAATAAATTTTTAATTAATAATTTTTTTTAAAAGCACTCGTGACAGAAGTCAAGAACCCAAATTATAGAGCAAGAGTTGTCAAAATTGAGAATCCAATTAATAATTTCTTAACTTTATGAACATTAATTACTGTTTTTGAAGACTTTTTTTGTTTAATTTTGAGAACTAAATTAACCTATACATAATTATAAGTTTAAAATGTAATAGTTTATATTTTTCTAATATATGTTTGAAATTTAAAATAATAATTATCAAGTTTGATTTTGATATATTATTAATATAAAATTTTCATATCATCGATCAATTGACTTATTATAATATAAATTTTAAAATAATTACTTAAAAAATCAATAATTTTTTAAAGATATGATTGTTGATAATTAGATGATAATATACTTTTTTTACACTAACAAATTATTTTAATAATTTATTATTATTATCAATTTTTTTATATTTTTATTTATTAAAAACTTGTATAAACCATACCCTTACGTATTATATATATTACATATAAGAAAATATATTACAAATATTTAATATCTAGGACAGTAATTTAACTATTCATTACTATTATATAAACTTAAAAAATCTCTCCTCTTCGGATATTCAAGTGAACATCTCTATCTATAGGCTGTAGGGCTAGCCTGAGTCTCACTCCATGACATCAACATATTGTAACTCTCACCGCTGTTAGTTAATTAATTAAGTTGGTCATTGGATTAAAAACGATAAAAGTGAATTAAATAATAAAATTATACATACGTATAATACTATTATTCATTTTTATTTTTAAAATTAAATTAAAACTATTATTAATAATAAAATTTTATTAAAAATACTTATTTCATCTTTAAATTTTTAACATAATATTGCAGCCAATGTGAAATATTGGATAGTTGGAGAAGCTATATGGCTTATCCTCACGAGTCAAGGGTAGTAGTGCATTTTTGGTCGTAAAAAATTGGACACAGTCTACTTATAAATTATAAAATATGTACAAGAAACACAAACCACAAATGCACAACTTAGAATCATGGCCGTGTTTGTGAGAATATGCTACTTTGGTACTCACAAGTAAGGTTGTTACTGCCCTTAGATTAAAGAATCACTTGCAAAATAATATTTTTATATTCTTAACAAAATTTTTATTATTAGTTTAGTTTTTAGGTTATAATTAGTCTTTTAGGATAATTTTTTGTTGATTTTTTTAAAACCTTTTCTATGCCACTTTAACATATATTTATTATTAATTAACATTTAGTTACTGTTTATTCTTAGTAGGTCTTGCTTTAAAGAATTAATAATTAAATTTAGAGTTTATTAAAAATGACAAAAAAAATGTTTCCTTAATTTAGAGTCTATTATGAATGTTTAAAAAATATTAATTAGCATTTATCATTCATAATTTTGTATCTAAATTATAAGCTTATTGTTATCACTTTCTCATAATTTAATCGTAAATAAGTACATTATTAATTAACTTACGAAGCAATTTATCTCAGATCTCTCTCAACTATCTAATGGTTACCAAAGTGTTGCTTTCCTACAAAAAAAACAAAAAACAAAACGTTTATTGATGAAATTTAAATTAGTCAATGATATGAGACGCAAAGTTAATGTTGGACATAAAAGGAGTGAGAAAAGCTATCTCTAATCATTGGTTTTATAATTATATTTTTAAATTTAAAGATAGCAATACGGATGTTATATTTTTACATAATTTTTTTGGATAAAAAATAAGAGAAAATTAAAGGATATTATTTCTGAAAGTATATGCTGCAAAGCAGCGTAAAAAATTGTTCCCAAAAATAGATACACTCTTGTTGTCCACTTTAAAGACAACCTAACTTCGAAGGAAACCTTTTTTTTTCTATGATCACCATCTTTGAATTCTTCAAGATCACAATGTAAGGCTCTCAAAATTTTCTTAGTTTCTCTCAATACTGCATTTGAATTTGCAATTAAATAAGCAAAAATGATAATAAAATAAGAAAAAATTTAAGAATACAATTTCAATACCTTTTAAATACATTTTTTATTATTGAATAAAATTTTCTATTAGTCCTTTTAACAATAAAAAAAAAAGCCTCAAAACTATTTTTCATGTGAAATTTCATTCAATTATAAAAATATTGAAAAAAAAAGTATAAAAAGATGTATGATGAGCAGTGTTTACTGGCCAAATGAGCATTAAGGATTGTTAATATCACGCTGACCTTTGATGTATTTTCTTTTAGTAAAATTGTACAACTCTCCTTGAATCAATAATGAATTTCAGTTATAAAAATTATACAAATAATTTAA